CATTTCATAAACTTTTATCAGACTAAATATGTGTTACATGAATATTCTTTCTCATCTATTTCTCCTTTTGACTTAGGTTGATATCAATACTAAAGAGTGCATCAAAATAAGCATAAAGAAATATAATTGAGCCGAATATGTTGTGTGACTGTGCGAGCAAGACTCAAAATTTTGTTCGTTGCTTACTAAAATAATAAGCGTCTGCAATTCTACTTGTCCCTTCATAATGATAATATTTCTGAAAAAGTGAAAATATAAAAAAAAGAAAAAAAAAAAAAAAGGGGATGCTCTTCTGTCAAAAGAAAGGGGATACGCTTCTTATAGTTGTATCTATGTAATAAAAATAATTGAAATAGCAAGCGTAAAGAGAGAGAATAGAAAGTGGAGTATTTCAATAATTAAAAATTAAAAAACTACTAGTGGTAGTTTATTTAATTAATACCGATCACAATATAAACTATAGTAATAAATCCATGAGTGCGGGCGAAAAAGAGAAAGAAAAAGCCATGCGCCCTACGTCCATGACAAATAATGAAAAATATTTTCCTTTAAAAATACGTAAAGCTTTGCAAATTAGATTAAAGTTTTTTTTTTAAAAAAAAAAAACGTGTACACCGACAATTGTGTAAGGAATCTTTGAGGATATAGTGATATAATTTTAAACTACTGCTTACAGTAATTAATATAAAAACTAACTAACTATTTTGAATTGATTAAAAAAAATTGTTAATTTACTGATTTGTAATAAATAGGTATTATTTTCCCTTAAATACATTTATTACTTATATATATTAGTTAGAACTATTATTTGATAAAACTTTTAACATGTATCATTATTACAATGACTATTTTGAAAAAAAAAAGATAAATATAAAAACAAAGTAGATTGAAGTCTTATATTTAAGACTAACTTGAAAATTAAACTAACTCTTATATAAAAAGTTAAAAAAACCGTCAGTCAATTTCCTATAAATTGTTAATTATGTACATATGAACAATCTCATGGTAAATAAATTTATTAATTAATGTAGAGAAAATTGGTTAAAAGTCCTTCTTTAACAAATTAATTGAGAAATGGGACCTAAAATAAATTTAAAGGTGTGGGCCTCTCAAATGCTAATAAGTGTAGTAGAAAAAAGACTATATTACCCTAATGGATGATAATTGCATATGACGGATCCTCACTTACATATCAAAAATCCTAATTGCATATGGAAGATACCTAGTTGTATATGGGGCCTTATTACATATTATGGATTCTAATTACATATGACGGTCCTCACTTGCATATCATGGATTCTAATTACATATGGTATTTTATTGCATATCACGAATCATAATTGCATATTGTTGATCCAAACTTGCATATTGATAATTCTAATCGCATGTTATGGATACCTAGTTGCATGTGATATCTTATTGCATATCACGGATCCTAATTGCATATAATTTATCCCAAGTTATTTATTGATGATTCTAATTGCATATGTGGATACCTAGTTGTATATGAGACTTTATTGCATATCATGGATCCTAATTGCATATTGCTGATACTTAGTTACATATGAGACTTTATTGCGTATCATAGATCCTAATTGCATATCATTGATCCAAGTTTGCATATTGTTGACTCTAATTGCATATATGCTACTATTTAATTACGTAAACAAATTCGTTTGTGACTCAAACAAATTCTTATCTACAACTACTAATTGCATATGAATGATTCCTTTTCTATCATGTTAACTTATAGATAAGAATTTGTTTGTGAGTACTGCACAAAAGAATTTGTTTATGAAAATAATAATATATATACAATTAGAATAAATAATATGCAAATTTGGATCAATGATATGCAATTAGGGTCCATGATATGCAATAAAGTCTCATATGGCATCCTCAATATACAATTAGAATCAGGCATATGCAATTTTGGATCAGCAATATGCAATTAGAATATGTAATATACAATAAGATCTTATATGCAATTAGGCACCCACATATGTAATTAGAATCACTAATATGCAACTTTGGATCAATTATATACAATTAGGATCCGTGATATGTAATAAGATATCATATGCAACTAGATATCCATAATATGCAATTAGAATTAGCAATATGCAAGCTTGGATCAGCGATATGCAATTAGAATTCATGATATGCAATAAGATCTCATATGTAACTAGTCTCCATCATATGCAATTAGAATCCATACCATACAAGTGATATGCAATAGCATCCGTCAGGACAAAATTGTCTTTTTCCTACCACACTTACTGATATTTGAGGGGCTCACATCTTTATATTTATTGTAGGTCTCATTCCTCAATTAATTTGTTAAAGAGGGACTTTTAACTAATTGTCACTGTATGGATAAAAATTAAATTATTGTTCATTAATGATTTTTTTTGGAAAAAAAAAGCCAGTAAATTTTAGTATACGCAAAGATGCGGATGTGTTGAGGAGTGAACAAAGCACATGCATTTAAAAAAACTTATTTGATGAGAAATGGGAAATGCTTGTCTTAGAACACACGCTTCCCTGCTTTGCGGGATTCGCTACGAAGGAATCTCACAGATACTAAACTTGCCTTTTTTTTCCACATTTATTTATTCATTTATTATGATTTAACCAATGAAGGACAATAATCTTACTTTGACCACACACATTCACATGCGGTATCATTTCCATACATGAACGGATGTGCCATCTGGATCTTTTTTGGCTCAATTTCTAGAGCAATTGTTGTAAATATAAAATAATAGTAAATTTCAAGCACCTTAGTTTTTTTTTTTTTGGGGAGGATAGCGTTAAGCACTCTAGTTTTAATATTATAAAAAAAAAAAGCACTTTTCCGGATAAATGAAAGATGGATTATATTTGGAAGCTGACTGGAGTGAAGACAAACTTTATGCTTGAAGGAATAGTAGCAGAAATAATTTGTAAATTATGTAATGATAGAGTTGTGATATTAACAAGTGAAGGTTGTGTGTGTTTTTCAAAGTGATATTAATGTAAATAATGTGTTTGAGGCAGAATTAATGAGCAAAGCACACCGTGAAAATGAATTTAATTCGTAATGTAACACTTGTTTTTGCATGTAGATATTAATCTTTATAGACTCCAAAATATTAGTACTCATCCAGACGAGTTAAAGAAGGCATTCTTAATAATTAGGACCATCTCATAATCTCATTCTTTATTGATCTAATTCTCTTCTAACTCATTTTGCAAAAATTTGAAGCCATTTTGAGACGGGATTTAAAAGTTATTTCGTTCATTTTTCGAAGCAAAATTCCAAGCATAAATCAACATGATTTTTGTCCTAACCTGCGTAACACACACTCCTAATAGTGATCCCAGTTTCTAAACATGGAGTAGTTAATTGAACTGAATATACAAATAATGGATGGATTTGTAGAAAGCAGGGAAGATAGGACAGAATTATGAAAGGGAGCTTGTAGCCTGTATATATATTTATATATATATACTACTTCCGGTCCTTAATATAAGACTCTATTTGATTTTTATTTTGGTCTTAAATATAAGATCCCAATCCATTTTGTCTCTCATATTTATATATTTTTTTCAAAGTAGCCCTTCTAATAATGATAGTTCTAGTCAATACATTTGATTAGTAAGGATATTTTAAGAAAGACAACACCTATTTAGGACAAATAACTAACTCAACTTACTTTTTTAATATCTTTAAATTAATTAATTAGCTCTTATAATTAGAACCGGAGATAGTACATATGAATAAAGTAGGGAAAGGGAGCATGATGAACTGGAAACAGTAGAGAATTAATAGGCAAAAAATAAAAATGATTCGGTGCTGGGGTGGAATCATACTGCAGCCATGTGGGGCACTCAGGACTTGTCGTTCTATGAGGCCCCCACATGTGTGTTACTGTTTTCCTTGACTTATCAAGTGTTTGCCATTTTTATCCCTTCTTTGCTCTTTTTAATTCACTCTCCCTTGCTTCCTTCTTCCTCAATCCTCACTTTCCTTCACATATTACTCCGCTCTCTCTATCTCCCTTGTGGGGACTAGGCCGCCACCAACTTCAGCAATTATACATTCCATACTCTTTAACAAGAATCCTATGACTTTGCCTATCATTTCATCCCATCTGGTCAAATTTAAAATTAATAACTAATAATAATAATAGTAAGGGATTGGAACTTAACCCAATCAAGACCTTCTATTTATGCACAAAAAATCACGGCCGCATCAAATTATAACGATTAAATTCACATGGCAACGGCAACTTAACAGTTAATGCAGAAATACATGATTCAAGGATTGAATTGACAAAACCATCATGCACAAGGGCCACCTCATTCTTCGCTATTATTCTTTTATTTTATTTTTTTAAAAAAAAGGAAAATCTCACTTGTGCCTTTCACTTTCATCCTGCTTAAGCATGTCTCATAAACAACTAAAAAAGTTTCATAGTAATCTAATTTAATTTTCATTAACACAAACAAACATGTCAGAAACTTTCAAAACATAGTACTCCTCCGGTCCTTAATATAGGACCCAATTCTTGAGTTGGTTTTGGTCCTAAATATAAGACCCATTTATCATATTTATCAATTTTCTCTAAATTACCCCTATGGATGCTCCATCAACCATAATTAAGTAGAAGATGGAGTTGGGGTATTAAGAAAGATGATCATGGTGTTTTAGGAAAAATGTATCATTTTTCTTATAATTAACTAACTTACCTAACTTCCTTAATCTAATCAAATTGGTTAAATGGGTCTTATATTAAGGACCGGAGGAGTAATACATTTAAGATGGCTGCCGAGTGCCCCCGAGCAGAGCCACAAGATCCCTGGCCACCATCTGGCATGGTCGCACAGCAGAAAGCGATTGCCTGGTCCCCACGCACACACCGACAGCATTATTAAACCGTTCATCTTTATTCATAATAATAATAATTATTATTATTATTATAACTATAATATAATTCTGTTTACAGGCCATAAAATAGAAGAAACCAAAAGAATCATTATTAAAAATAAAACAAGAACATATACCCATCTGAATAATCTATACGCAAGGAGCATGGGGAGGGGGAAAAAACAAAAGATATCATACACAGAATTCCAAATTTAAAAAAGGGAAAAAAGAAGAAAAGGCTCAGAAGGAATTTGTAAAGAAAAGAGATGATGAAGGAGATGAAGAGTAGTGTCATTGGAGAGGCTTCTGTAACCTAGAACCAATCATCTTGGCCTCAAATTTCCTGATGAAACCAGCAAGGTCTCTCATGGTGGTGTCCATCACATAAGGGGTTTTCTCAAATGTGGCATGTGTTGAATTCAGAAGCATTCTGCAAGATTCTCTCTTCTCTGCAATGGTTCCATGATAATGGTAGTACATGATCTTCCCTTCTGTTTTGTGAGTCGTCTTCCCTTGCACATTCTCAGACATGTGAACTCCTGTAGCAAACAGCCTCCGAGGTTGCACTGCGTATTTCCTGTCTCTCCTAATGCCTTTCCTCGCATCTCTGTACACAAATTTCTCAATGCCCCATCTCCTGCATTACCATTCATTCATTCAGATACCCATTTAGTTCAAACCTCAAAAACACCAAATCATTCAGGCTGTTCTGCTGCATTTAACTCAGATTTTTTAATCAAAGCATAACAGTTGATTGTTTGTGATTTTAACTGTAACGTGTTCACTACGAAAGCAAGCACAAAGACAACTCAGGGTGATCTGATACAAAATTTTAGTACATTTTACAACTCATATAACAGTACTGTTTCTTGTCTTGGCGAAAAAGTCAACTTTAATCCTGCGTGGTAATTATAAAACGATGTGATTGGAGGGAGAAAGAAATAGGAAGTGTCGCTCCCCATCATAGGTGAGGTCCACTCCCTGTTCCTTTGTCTCTCTTGCTGTGCCTTGAGACTGAAAAAGCACCCAAAGGAAAAAAAAAAAAAAAAGACAGAAACAGTTACTCGCATCCTGGGAAACTTGCATCCAAACCAAATTATAAAAATTTAGGTTAAAAATTTTAAGAACCATAATTATTGTTCACAATCACATTTACCATCAAATTTTAAGATTTTTCACCAAATGTTTTTCTAGGAAAAAGTAACATTAGTGATCATGGCTAGAAAAATTACTATATGGAATAGTGAATGAGAGGAGGCCCTGCTCAGACATAAGAAGCCAATAAAGATAGAACACAGTTCAAGGCAAGTCCATCTCTCACGGTACGGTGGGAGTGAAACAGAATGTGAATGGGGGCTAATAAATCCAAGCAATACCCACCAAATAATCAAAATCGCTTTCAACCACTCATAACCACTAAAGCAACCCAAGAGCATGGCAACTGATTTTCATTGCCTCAAACTAACGGCCGGAGTGAATGCCCATTAATTCAATGACTTACCACTCTTCAACGTTCATCAATGGAGAAATTCAATAAATCAGAATTCCAAATCGATAGACTTAAATTTATTTGATTAATTTACTGCTTCAGCTCTTCAATTATGAACAGCGATATAGGAAAATGCTTCAACAAACACAAATTACCAGAATAATTAAATAATAAACACCACCAAAGATCCCAGAAACTTTGGTTAATATATTGAAAGAGAAGAGTATTGGTGGTACCTGTACATTCTGCTGGCATCAGCAGAGAGGCAGAGCTTGCTGCTCATGGCCCTTTGTTCAATGGTGAATTGTGAGTATTCAGAAAGCGAAGCGAGGACACTTTTGATGGTACTCTTAGGCGGCACATAAATGTACTCGTCAACGTCAAAGAAGAACATCCACTTAGTCATAAACTTGTATCTGAACAAACAATCATTCACCACCATGAACTGGTTGTGATAATACCCATCAAATCTCTCTTGGTCTCTTATATCCTGCAACGTCACGTAGCCCAGTTCAATCCAGGGCTTCAATACCTCCAACACTTGCTCGTGAATCCCACCGGCATCGTGAATCACGAAATGCGACTTCGGTCCGAAGAACTTGACATGGTAAGCGATCCATTCTCTCACTCTGCGCGGGTTCAAGCCTCCGAATAGCGATGACCCACAATAGAAATAGTCGTACTTAGGCTCCGATGTGAAAATCGAAGCGTCCATGCTTCCTGGAGCCTCCGTTAGAACCTCCATTCTGTCAGTAATATTGAAATTCGTGTCGCCTCCGCCGGATGTGGAAGCGCAGAGGATCAATTTCCCGCCGGAGTTGTCGACATTGACGGGCTGCGAGAAGGTACAGTTCACTATCACGACGGTGTACACGCGACCATAGCCCCAGTCCGGGAGAATCTTGTAAGCGACAGTGGTTATGGGTTTAGCAGAGTCGTCGCGGACCAGAGGAAGCCACTCGCACTCATAAGTGGGCTTGCCATAAAGGTGAAGAGGCTTGGAAGATAAACCCACAACGGCGAAATTGTTGAGACCTCCTCTGTAAGCACTCATGGTGACGAAATTGTAAGCTGCTGAACCGTAGGGCTTGAAAACTCTCTTGATGATTCCATTCTCGAGAACACGTTCCTTCTCTTCGGGAGGAGGTGGAAGGGGAAGAGATGGCGGTGAAGATAGCTTTACAGATTTCTGCGAGGCAGAGGACGAATTAGAGGAAGACGAAGAAGAAGCAGGAGGCACTTGGGAGACACGTGAGATGCAAACGCGGAGATCTGAAGCAGAGATGGTGAAACGAGAAGGGATAAACTGAAGCAGAGTAGCGACCGAACAGAGAAGAAGAAGAGTGATGAGAAGAAGCTTGAGCTCTGCTGTATAGTTACCCAGTACGCCAGGAGGCAGAAGCAGCTTCTTCTCTCTCTCTTTCGCCATTGCCGGTGAAGTGCCGGGAGAAGAGAGAGAGAGAGAGAGAGAGAGACGAGGAAGAAGGAGAAGGGAAGTACCAGTGAGGCAGGCGCTAATCAGGAAAACAGAGACAGTATATATTGACGATATTTCCTTTTGCCTGCCTAGTGTGATTATTGATAATATTTTTTTAAAAAACAAAAAACAGAAAAAGTATAGGACCATAATATATGATGATCATGGTTAATGATTGAGGGTTTAATGGGAAAGTCATAATTAAGGAGCTCAAGTTTATGTTATTAAAAGTTAAGGATCTCAGGTATATCAATCAATGATTAAATTGAGGAGAAAAGACTGAATATTTGTTGAACAAAATCAAGGTTCGGACTTTATAACAGTTATTGTTATTTTTCTTATAAAAAAGGAGCTAATGTTGTTTAAAACCCAATATTATTAGAATATATTACTTCCGGTCTTAATTATAAGAGCTAGTTGACTAATTTGAAGAGATTAAAGAAAGAAGTTAAGTTAGTTATTTGTACTAAATAAGTATTGTCTTTCCTAAAATATCCTTACTAATCAAGTGTATTGACTAGAACTACCATTATTAGAAGGACTATCTTAGAAAAAATTTATAAATATGAGAGACAAAGTGGATTGGAGTTTTATATTTAGAATCAAAATAAAAGTCAAATAAGGTCTTATATTAAAGAGCAGAAATAGTATGATGTGAAATATTAAAAAAAGAGGCTGAAAATTAAAAAAAATATAGGTATTTAAATTTTGTGCTTTTCAGATACGCAGTACAAGTTTTTTTTCCAGTTTGTTGATGAATTTTGGATTAAAAAAGCGGCGCATGTAATCTGATTGGTAAGGAAAAGGAAATAATTTGATTCTGTGTTGTGGTGCATGCCCCCATTACATGTGTGTACACCGGGATTACTAATTAAGATTAAGATTTTACAATAAAAAAGGAAACGAAATCATAAATCTTTAATTTTATTCCATTGCTTTTATTCTGAAAATGCTGTCCATAATCATTTAAATGTTTTTCTTGGGCAAATAATCATTTAAATTCTGATTATTATTATCGTATATTTAATTTTAAGCCAAAGCATATTATTAGTCTTTTAATTTTATGCAAGGTTTTAGTTGGATCTCTTAATTTCAAAAAAATATATTTTTAGTTCTTTAGCTCTAAAATTATTAACAAAAAATAATATTGAGATATTAAATACTGATAAAGAAATTTTAAATACTAATATATTAAGTTTAAATTTTAAAATAATTATGATTATTCAAAAAAATCATTTAAAACTGAAAATTTTAGGATTAAAGGATTTAAAATATACTTTTTAAAGTTAAGAAATCAATTTAAAACCTTATATAGAATTAAAGAATTAAATGTATACTTTACCATTAAATTTAACTTATTTATTGATTTTTGTCTGACAAGAGTTTGTATTTTTTATTTTTTATCTAGTCAAGTAATCATTTAAATTTTTTTAACTACTTAAATTTACTTGTTACGTGATTAACTTCTTTCTGCCAATGTTACATGTAGCATAATAAATATATGTGACCTTTTTAAATTTTAAATAATGTAACCATTTGAATTTATCTTATTTTGTTAAATAATTTGTTGAATATATATTTATAGGTCAGTTTGTTATAAATTTAAGATGCATTGTTAATGTCAGTGATGGGGTAATTCAAGCATGTTACTAATTGAGGTTTTATGTCAATCAAATATAATAAAAAAACCATTAAAAAATACCTTAAAAAATACCTTAAAATAATACAATATACAACGTGAACAATACGACTTATTTTTAAATATAAATAACAGAATACACAAGTCAATTATCAGTTTTCTCCTTCAAAGATATTAATCTCAATTCAGCATCCTATATCAACTTTTAGTAATTTAGTTTTAAAAATTTTAAAAATAAAATGATATTTAAATGCCAATTTAAAAGTAAATTATATTTAAAGGAAGAGGACTATATACCAAAAAAAAAAAACATTGGGCTTCATCAGTATTTGATTCAAGGAATAAAAAACTAAATACATGTAAATTATATTCATGACGGAAAAATCCACAAGGCTATGGGGTATGATGGGAGGTTTTTTTTTTTCTCAAGAAATTATAATTAAAATGAAAATTGAGAATGATTAAAATTGGATTCTAAGAATCTGTTTGGTAGTAAAAAAATCCTGGATAAAATTTTATTTGTTTGTATGCCTTTAAATACTAAAAGACTAAAATACCCCTTTTAAAAAAGGGGCAATAACAAAACAAACATCTCGGATGAATATTTTTAATACAAAAAAAGCAAGAATCTCATGGCATTTTTGGTTTAGGTGCACCGTTAGTTGGATGCATATGCTGTGTTTTACACGTAATCAGTCCAATTTTAGGCAAATGGGTAAACATACAACTTTGGAGCTGGGAATCTAATTGTTTTGTTGCTATGTTTATGAAGTGGATGAATAGAATTATTAATTTCAATTTTTGATTATGAGAAAGTGAGCTAAAGTGAGCCCTGATTGTATATTGCTAAGTGATGGTAAAATTTTAATTACTGATGAAGTTTATCAGCACTATAATTACTTAAGATCATAATACTGTACCTAAGTCGCCATTGGATCTTAAAGAGACAAATTCAAATTTTAAAATCAAACCACCAAAATCTAAAAAATAATTAGAAAATCTAAATTCACAATCTCATATTTTGGAGATTAATTCTGAGAGGAAATTAGATAATATGATAGCAAAGCAACTTTAGAAGGTGCCAATTACTCACTTTTGGGCATAATAACATCAAACTCCTTCCAGTTAGGACATTTCTACAATTAAGTAAAAACTTCATTAACATCAACATAATAAATCCAATTCAAATAAACGCACAACAGTAATTACTTTTTTAACATATCAAAAGAGTTCTTCATTAGACAAAAAGTTAGTCAGTGAGCATAATTTATCTTAAAATATTTATGATTAGTTATTATGAACTCAACTATTCATAAGAGTTGCAAAACAAATAAAAATAGTCCATAAATTAGTTCACAAAAGCAAGAGAAATAATATATGAGCAAAGATCTCATCAAAAGGCAATAAATTTCAAATTGAAATTCTTGATTTGAAACTCCACACCGAAAACTTAGCTTCGTTTTAATGATTTTGATAGTGAAATTTTTTAAAAATAAAAAAATAAAAATATATCTATAATGCATCATATATAAAAATTGTGAACAAAAGAGAATTAGCAAGCAAGCTGTGATACCGCATTTTAGACATACTATATGAAAATAATTTTGAAAATAAATTAGGGAATATGACAACAAAACAACCTTGAAAGGTGCTACTCGCATTTAGGAACAATGATACCAACCTTTCACTCAAGATGATTCTGCAATCAAGTAAGAATTTTACTAATATCAAGATAGTAAATCCAACCCAAATAAATGCACAACAATCGTTACTTCATTTACATATTTGATAAATCATTCGTTGGACTAAAATGTCAGCAACTGTTGAGCATAATTTATTAGGGGTGTTCAAGGCCGATCCGTCCCGGTCGGCCCGTTCCGGTCCCGGTCTTATTGGGACGGGATGAATCCGTCCTGAAATTTTTCGGGACGAGACACGAGACGGGGTCGTCCCGTCCCGGTCCCGTCCCGGTTCCTTTTTTTATTTTTTATTTTTTATTCTATTTATATAATATCATTTTTTTCATATTTTTTTAAGATTTGAGACTATTGTATGGAACTATGGATATATTTATTTAGAGTTTTTATATTTGTTAATGATTTGAGATTATTGATGATTAGAATTTTTAGCAAGTTTTGATTGTGTTAAAAGCTTTTGTTTAGAGTTTTTAATGACTATTATATGTAATATTTTGAGATTTTGTTTAAAAGTGGCCAAACAAATAAAAAAGAAAATAAAAAGATGTTTTTATAAGATTTAAGCTCAAAAAATATAATTAAAAAAATCAGATTTTTTTTTAAAAATTTTAAAAAAAATTTCGGGACGTCCCGATCCCGTCCCGGATCCGTCTCGTCTCAACCGGAACCAGGACAACCCCGGGACTGGCCGGGACACGGGACAGAAAATCTGTCCCGTTATTGTTCACCGGGACAGAACTGGGACGGGCCTGTCCCGGTCCCGATCCATCCCGTGAACAGCCCTATAATTTATATCAACATATTCATGATTAGTTATCATAAATTCAAGAGTTGTAAAACATATAGAAATAGACCATAAACTACTGATTAAGATTAAGATTTTACAATAAAAAAGGAAATGAAATCATAAATCTTTAATTTTATTCCATTGCTTTTATTCTGAAAATGCTGTCCATAATCATTTGAATGTTTTTCTTGGGCAAATAATCATTTAAATCCTGATTATTATTATCCTATATTTACTTTTAAGCCAAAGCATATTATTAGTCTTTTAATTTTATGCAAGATTTTAGTATAATCTTTTAATTTTAAAAAATATATTTTTAGCTCTTTAGCTCTAAAATTATTAACAAAAAATAATATTGAGATATTAAATACTGATAAAAAATTTTAAATACTAATATATTAAGTTTAAATTTTAAAATAATTATGATTATTAAAAAAATTATTTAAAACTGAAGATTTTGGGATTAAAGGATTTAAAATATACTTTTTAAAGTTAAGAAATCAATTTAAAACCTTATATAAAATTTAAAAATTAACTTATTTATTGATTTTTGTCTGACAAGAGTTTGCAGTTTTTATTTTTTATCTAGTCAAGTAATCATTTAATTTTTTTTTTAACTATTTAAATTTACTTGTTACGTGATTAACTTCTTTCGCCCAATGTTACATGTAGCATAATAAATATATGTGACCTTTTTAAATTTTAAATAACGTAACCATTTGAATTTATCTTATTTTGTTAAATAATTTGTTGAATATATATTTATAGGTCACTTTGTTATAAATTTAAGATGCACTGTTAATGTCAGTGATGGGGTAATTCAAGCATTTTACTAATTGAGGTTTTATGTAAATCAAATATAATAAAAAAAACCATTAA